ACTACTATATATATATATATATATATATATATATATATATATATATATATACACACACACACACACACACACACACATTTGCTGCTCTAACACTAACACTTGTAGGAAGAGGTGGTAGAATTTGCACTAACCAAACATTTTAGTTTAATAAATGGATTTAGCCAGTGAAAGGTGTTACCACCTGCACACAAAGGAATCAGAATCTTCCAGCTGTCTGTGCATCCCAAGTACAAATCTGTCCACACACCCATGAAGGCCAAGTTGAGGGCCCACCCAAAATCTGATCCTCTGTATCTTCTTAACAAGTAATATTATAAGTGAAATATTTTAGATTGCAAAAATGTTAATTATGTTTATCTGCTGTAACCAAACTTGCCACTGCTAAAAATCAGCAATGATACCTCAAATTCTCATATATTCATTGTTCTTTTCCAGAAGAACATCATAGGACACATGCAAAATCTAAAATAATAAACCCGCATACAATATTTTGATTCTTCACTCTGTTATGCTGGTGTAATAACTGTATGACTCCAATGACTTCAACAAAGTTACACCAGTTTAAGACTGATTTCACACTTAAAATAATCACTTGATGATTACCTGTTCTGTTCATTCCCTCTGGGGCACCTGGCATTGGCATCCTGTCAGAAGACAGGATACTGGGCTAGATGGACCTTTGGTCTGACCCATTGTGGCTGTTCTTATGTTCTTAAATCTATAGTATATATATTATAAAGTTGCAATGACTGCAAGTGTATGTTGCATACACCTAAATTGGTGTGGGATTGAAAATTGCACTGAAATCAACTGATTGAACTGAAAACCCTCCCCCTCCTCCCCCACCTGGTATTTTACCCCCATTATCTTAACACCTGTCTTGTACATGGATAGACAAATAAGTGAAATCTTCACATATACCTGAACTTTAACAGCTCTCAGGTTTGCATCATTCACAAACAGAATGTTTCCAAAACCATTAGAGCACTCTGTTATCCCATCAGTTATTGGAATCATTGATGCCTTTAATGATTCTAGCATAATCACTGTAATTATTGCATTAAATCTAAATGTATAAGAAGTGAGAATAGTATCCATACCAGATTTCTTTTGTAGTATTGCCTGAATTTAAACTAAGCTAATGGAATTTTTTTTTGTGTATAATACATTTTTTTTGCACTTTGATAAACCCATTTTGTAGCACATAAAGCTCAGCAATAACTCAGTTATGCCACTCAGCTACACAACTCGTGAGAGTGAAAACAAGAACAAAGCAACTTTGTGTAAAACATAGGACACCCACATAAAGCTCAGCAATAACTCAGTTATGCCACTCAGCTACACAACTCGTGAGAGTGAAAACAAGAACAAAGCAACTTTGTGTAAAACATAGGACACCCACAGATATATAAACAAAGTAAATTGACGAAAGTACCGTCTGAATGTAGGGCTTTAATTTATTCATTAACAATGTATTCCAGTTGTGAGTTACTAAGTATTGTTTCCTAGCCAATAACAAACATTACTGATATGATTTTTAAATTGTATCTAATAATGAAAACTAGGCTAATGATCTTTGCACCTGTATGCTATGACTGGATTTTAAAAAATTAAATGAAAAGCAGTTAATATTTCTTGGTGCAGGAAGGAAAGAACATATTCACTTTTCCATAAAGAAAAATGAGCACACTTGTTGGCATGAAAGTGTATTTCAGTCAATTTTTGCAAGAATTAAGTATCTATGGGTGTCTACTTTTTGCCTGTCTCTGAAGTGGTTCCGTGGTGAACACAGGAAATTTACAATGGATGTTCTTCACATAACTAATATTAATTATTTTATTTCTTTTCCCTAAATTGGTAAAAATAGTGAAAAGTGCTATTTTTCATCCACTCACGTGCATCTTCAAGCTGTCCTGTACACCCTCTTTTCAGCCATAAAATAGCTTTCTTTAAAAAAAAAAAAAAGTAGGCATAAAAATAATGTACATGAGGTAATAGCCCACTATTAACATTATCAGTGGTAAAAAAGAATGCTCATGACATTACAGTTACCATAGTAACAGTGCTCTTAAGTAGAAAAGAAAACAGAAATGTAAAATTTTTAAATTCTCAGAACATAAATGGCGGCCGCTGAACTGAACGGAGTTTTCCTGTTCACGTTTATCTGAGTTTTCCATAAATCCACCGTAGAAATAGTCTTCCCTTAGTGCATCTCATTTGGTCTCCTGTCACAGTAAAGTGAAATTAAAGGATTGTCTATCTGACCACTTTGTGGCAAGCCGGTGAGTGACTCTACCCCACACTACCCTGCCTTCACGTGTGGCATTCTCTCTGCTTAGGTATTTTCATGACCCTCGTCACTGTAGTTTACCTGCACCTTTCACGTATTTACAAAACACACAACAAATTCTTTCTTCCTTCCCATGCTGTAGGTGTAATGT